ACCTGGATTTGAATCCCAGGTCCACCATATTGCATATTATTCTTTTTCTTCAGGAAATCCAATGTGTTCCAGGAGTTGTGGTTCATCATGCAGCCTCACCTAATCATCTGCCAGATGGCCACAGGCCAGATTTGGTGGTCAGGAATGAAAGTCCACCATGGTGCCTAGTCAAAGTGCATACGTGGAATCCAGAAAAGTCAATCAGGCTGGCTTGTATTGGGCCACAAAAATTGCTGATCTCACATCCAAATCAGGCCCACACTCTCCTTGGTTATTTCTATTTCTTTCTTTCTTTTTATTTTGTTTCTTTATTTTGTTTAATTATTATTATTATTATTTAAACTAACCAAATAATCTTTTTCTTAATAAAATAAAAAAAAAACCAAAAATATATTTTATTTATTAAAATTAAATTCAGCATTTTATTTTTGTAAATAAATATTAATTGAATTAACTTAGTTTTAATTAGGTGTAACTTTTAATATTTTTGCAATAATTAAAATTAATTTAGATAATTAGGTTTTTATTAACATTAATCAAATTTATTTTTATTTATTTAAATATCCAAAAATCCAAAAATATCTTTTTAAATTAATTTATTTATTTAATTAGCTTAATTTAATTTCTTCCATAAATTCAAAAATAAACAAAAAATGCTTTCTTTCAAAAAAAAGGGTCAAAACCCTAAAAATTTGCATCCAATTTAATTTCCCACACACGGTCCATTTGATTCCAATATTTTATCTGTTTCCTGGGATGTAATAGTTTAATAGGACTTTAAATATTTTATCTCTTTATTTTATTTTCCGCATTTTAATTTCAAGGGTTGTTTTTGGCGATGTAAATACCCGACGCCTTGTAATAGTTAGATTTAATTTCCGCAAATTTAATTTCCGCAACTTATAAACTGTTAGATGTTTGGTAATAGGGAATGCATGACAAGATCAAATGTATGAACTTAAAATCAACATAGCTCACCCATGACATGTACAAAGATAAAATTAACCGAAATAACACACTCGCACATGCGCACTCTTAGGGTACACCTCACTTGGTTGCCTTCGAACGTGGTCATTGAGTATAGGAAGTTTTAGAGGTCGCCCTCTTGTCCAAAGATCATAGTTGCCTCGAAACGGTTGCCTCGGAAAAATGATCTAAGACATTAGGGTTACTTCTAAGGCGTCCTAACATTGCTTTAGTGACCACACGTCCCTTAATCGAATTAACCCTTAAACTCCAACGACGGTGCTACCTACTCATTCATAGTGGGATAGCATTGTCTAAAGGACATTAGCACATATTGATTCCTTTTTCGAGTAGGTAGATGGTTCTTAAGTACTTGCTCGTTTCCAAAACAAAATAAAACTTTTCGCACTTACACTCTTCAAACAAAAACTCCTTTCAAACCCACAAACACAAAGAAAAGCAAATTTTGAAAACACTTTGAGCAAGTACCTAAGAGCCCGTGGATAACCACAGATAGAAAGGGTGATAACACCTTCCCTTTCTATAATCTACCCCCGGACCCGAGAAACATCTCGAAAAAAGGAATTTTTCTGTGCTTTTTTCCTTTCCTTGTTGGATAAAATAAAAGACGGTGGCGACTCTTGCTTACCGCGACATTTTGCAAAAACAAACGCAAAACACGAACCAGCATTCTAAAAAATAGTCAGTTCTCTCCCACCGTATCACAAGTGGAATACACTGATTCGAGTTGGTATAGTGATGCTGAAGATTGAAAATCAACAACAGGATATGTGTTTATGTTAGGTGGTGCACTGGTTTCTTAGAGTTTAAGAAAGGAACTATTAGTGGCATTATCATCATGTGAAGCAGAATACATAGCTGCTTCTCTTTTTGCATTTCAAGCAACTTGGATGGTGAACTTGGTCGAAGAGATAACAGGGAAAAATCATGGAGCAATTACCATGAAGATCGACAGCATGCCAGGTATCAATCTGGCGAAAAACCCGATAGTACATGGTCGAAGAAAGCACATCGAACCGAGGTTCCACTATCTTTGAGAGCGGGTAGCAGATGGGAAGATGAATTTGAAACACTGCAGAACTGAGAATCAGATTGCAGATATCATGACGAAGGGAGTGCAGATTGAAGTATTCAGAAGACTAAGAACCATGATGAATATAGATAGTTTATACACAATGAATTAGGTGGTTTGTTAAATTGTAATTCAATTGTGTCGAAACTATGTGTGTGGAAGGGAGAGGTTGTCGAAGCTGGTTGCTCGAAGCGAGCCATTGCTCTGTCAAAGAGTTTGTGGATCGAAACAAGCTGCACACAAATTAGATTTGTTTTAGATTTAAATAGATTTGTTTTAAAGTCTAAAATAGAATAGATTAGATTTAGTACCAAAATAGATATTTTGGGATTTTATAGTTTTTGGTTTTGCTTAGGGAGCAAGCTAACCTAAATCTATAAATAGAGGGAGTAACCCCTAAGTTTGTAATCAAGTCAATTCATTATAATCACAAAATTTGCAGTTGCAAGTGATTAATAAAGTTTTTCATAATTTGTGGGCAGAGAGAAACTCTGTAGAAAATAATTGTGTTCTTTCTTTTCTTTTCTCATAATGCATTGTCATTGTATGGTGATATCAATCTTGTTCATCAAGATTGGTATAAATTCATCATAGATATTTGGTGGATTTCAAGTAGATTTATGCGGTGATGTATCTTTTGATGCATTTTAGATTATAATTGATACACTTTTTTAATGTATTATTGTCAATGATATAATCTTGATACGATTTAATACATAAGTAATATATATTTAGAAATGATGGTGTAAATGTCGACTATTTCTGTTTACAAATTTTATGGTTTATAACTTTTTTTTTATGTTTACAAAGTTTCTGCTATGTTACTAGTTAAGGGGTGATTCTGAATATGTATATTCGGATAAACCCCATACTAATTTAAAAAGCACAACAGGAACCTTACGAATGTGCATATCCCGTAAACATCTTTTTTGCGTAAAAAAATAGGGTTTTTCCAGATATGCATATTTGAAATGTACCCTGATGACAAGATAAGGTTTCTAAAGTCTAAAATGATCCAAGACTTGTATAAATAATACGTCTCTCATCCCATATTTTCTACAAAACACACAAAAGTAAGAGAATGAATAAATATCCCCACCTTGCATTTGAGTATTTCAATAGCGAAAAGCCATCACTTCAATTTAGTGTCATCGAGGACACACCTCTCGTCGATCTGATATCCAAATTGAATACTCTCTTGCGATATCCAGAAAATCAAAGAGTTTCCAAGCTCGAGTATCTTTCACCCTCGTTTGACAGTGAAGGGAAGACACAATTCACCAACTTTGAACTGAAGACGAATGAAGATTTAGAGGTTATGTGGAGTACTTTCATTGTTATGCAACAAAGGATCTGATTGAAGTGGATGTGAAGATTGTAAGATTCATCAAAGATATTATGAATATGTTGCAACATCCTGAACTACTCATTTATAACAATATGTAATATTAAATTTATATTAATGACTATCTATGTAATATTGAGTGTTTTAATTTAATGTCAATTCGTTGTGGTTTTTAGATCTTGCTTATACTGTCTCTATTTCTATTTTGAAGTATTAATGCCATTTTTTGATATGCATATTCGAAATATACTAGATACATGTTCGAAAATGCAAGTTCATACTAAATTAAGTATAATAAGTGTGGATCACTCGTTTGCATTCAATTTTGTGGAAAATGAGTGTGTCTGAATATGCATCTCTGAATTCTAGAGATATTTTTGGATTTTCATCAAGTGTTTGTGATAAGGTATAAAGGTGAGGGAAAAAATCTCCTTACAATTAAACCATACATAAAGAGAAGTCTTCAAATCCATCATAATGATTAGGAGTGTGAATAGACCAGACCAATTAATAGGGGCCTACGACCTAGCTTACCCAGGCTAAGGCCAAACCAAACTTTTTTATTAAATAGAAAAGGCATAGGATTTTTTATAAGTTAAATAGACTAGGCCACAGACCATACAAAAAACCTTATAAGTCTATCAGGATGTCTTATTTTAATAAATGAATAAATTTATTGTTCTTATATTGTATTTTATAGTTTATATTAAAATACAAAAATAAAATATAGTTATCTTAAAGAACTTATGAAAATAAGTTAAAGGAAATCTTATGTATAATGTCATATGATATTTTCATAAGTTCTATTAAACAAAACAAAGCATTTCAGAAAACTTATGTTATTAGATAAGTTCAGATAAGTCAATACAAAACAAATATTCAGTCTCATTGAACGTTTGATTCTCTGGTCTATTTAAACATTAGCTGAATTGCTTATTTACATATTTTCAAATGATATAGGCTTTTTAAGTAGCTAATAGGTCGATCATGCTTTCAAAAAGGACAAGTTTAGACCAAAAAATAAGTCTATAACAGACTATAAGTCATGTTTAAGTTTTAAAATTTTTAACAAGTCCGACTCAGACTTGACAAAGCCTAGCCTAACTCGACCTAGCTATTTGCACCTCTAATAATGATTAAGCGTGGATAGAATGCACAAGTCGATTAAAATCTGATGAACTAAATATATATGTTGAAAACAATCAAAGTCCAACAGCTGGGTTGAATTGGGCAGATCCGAGTGGAAAAAAAATACATTCCGAACATGTCCATATGAAATGACTTAAATATATAATTCTTTTATCTCATTCTCAAATCCTAACTCCTTCATATTTATTTTTACCTTTTTATCTTCTTAACCGTCAACATATTCATCCACCAAATCCCTCTTGAATGACTTTGACCGCTCACTTTAAAAAAATATATTAGTTAATGATATTGACAATTATGGTTATTTATGTTGAATGTATGACTGATGAGTTGCAAGGAAGAGATTAAAAAGCATTGAGAATGGAATCTAGTAGAAGTATTTAAATTACATAAAATAATAGTATCATGTTTATAGTAGCAATTAAGAAGAAAAGCATATAAATAAATTCATTCCGTAGGCATAGGTTCAGGCTTGACCCGATCCGTGGTATCATGACGAGAACCCATCATCATCATCATCCTAAACTCCTCAAAATCAATGGTCCCATCACCATCACTATCCACACCCCCGATCATCCTCCTACACTCCGCCAACGAGCACTCCTCCCCTAAACTCCTCATAACCGTGTTCAGCTCCTCCGCCGTAATCGACCCGTTCCCATCCATGTCAAAAACCGCAAACGCGTCCTTCAGATTCTCCAAGATCTCGTCTGAATCAACACCTTTCGTATTCAACTCAATGAATTCCGGTAAACTTATGCAACCGTCGCCGTCTCCGTCAACCTCGCGGATCATGTTGTTCAGTTCTTCATCGCTTGCCGGCTGCCCTAAGCTTCCCATTATGGATCCCAGCTCCGAGGCCGAGATCTTCCCGTCGCCATTGACGTCGAATTTCTTGAATACTTCTTCCAGTTCCCCGGCCAGACGCGCGCGTGTATGCACGGAGAGTGAGGTTGAGCGTGATGCCGTTGAGGATGACGATGGGTTTCGGTTGAACAGTGATTTCATCGTAACGGAAATTAAAAATAATACCGATGTGAAAATTTATTCAAATTTTTCTCTTTGATGAATGAATGAGAAATTGGAATGAGAAGAGAGAGAGATTAGGGAGAAATAGATTTGTTAATTAAGTTTGTGTTATGTTTTTGAGAACAATGTTGGGGTGATTTGGCTATATTTAGAGATTAATTAAAATTAGGCGTGATTGCAGCATGCTAATCGCAAACGGCGTGACAAATTAGCTAAACCATCCGTTATTATTTAACAACGTTCTATTATATTATATGAATAATTTTAAAGTTAATTGTTAGGTTGAAAGATATTGTGTATAATATAAAAGTTGAGAAAACTCCAAAGACAATTTTGAAAAGTTGGAATAATTAAAATGAAAATAGATCGTGAGATAACTCATAATAGATTGTCTGTGATTTCTCAATTAATAATTGTATAATAAGGACATCTACCATATAAGAATGAGTACCATATAAGAAGATAGTATGTTTTAGAATACTAGTCAAAATTATTATTTTTTTGATTTTTTTTTCAATATTAATTTTAATTTTGTTTCTCATATTTGGTATTTATAAAATCTAAAATCAATAAATTAGCAGGCATATTTAAAATATTGATACTTACGATGTCTAACCTTTTAAATTCAGTCATTTAAATTCAGTCACAGATGCAAATGAATATAAATATATGTGATTATTCATGCGCTCCTATCATTTCTTCTTATATCATATAAATAACTCCTAATCAAACAATTCATACATCACAAATCTACTGTCATTTTTTATTCGTCTTTTCTGTGAGTTTTTGAAAATTTGTTCTTCTCAACATAATATACAACACGTTCTTGTATAAAAACAATAAACGTGTAGCTTTCCTATAGGTATAGATAAAGCCGCAATTGGTAGATTTCTGTAGATTGGGGGATTTGGGAGCTACGATAGTGATGTGTATTGTCCCAAGATAAATGTCTTGCTTATCCCTCTTGCGGGAGTCCTCTTTTATAGCCTTCATATTGCCCTCCTTTAAGAGCTTCATTTAAGAAGTATCCCTCTGCCTTATAACATTTCAAACGTTTATAACGTCTGCCGTCAGCCATGATTGGCGCAATTAAGCGCGTATAACGTTCACATTAAACCAGGTGGCTACCGTTCTACGTTAAGCTTGTCTCCGGTTTCCCGACCCTTCCATGAGGTTAGGTCGTGTCCTAGGGTATTACCTAGCTAAAGGTTCGTACCCGAATAAAGCCTGTTATCCGGCTAAATGAGTTCTTGTTTAGGACAAGACAGGACGCAGATGAATTCACTATCCAGACTCTCTTTAGCTTCTACAACCATAAGTACTCTTTATCTCTGGCGACTTCAGAACCTGACCAGGGGAAATATTCCTGGGATGTACATAAGTCCCCGAACACGAGTCCCACTGCGGGGATAAAGTGTTCGGTCAAGAAGGATCTGAAACATATTTCAAGCCGAAAACGGGTAATGAACACGGAATGTACTTATGTCTATGTGCAAGCAAATGAAGAGTTTGTGACCTCTAAGTGTATATCTCTCTCTTGACGTAATGATGACTTTTATGGGAAATTGATTGTAGGCGACTGTTCCTTCCCCTACGTTACTGTTCCACTGGGCCCCTATTTAGACCATATTTCCCCTTTCCCTTTTCATCTCAAATCAGCATTTGAAACGTTCTTTCTTCCCAATAAATCCTCTTCAGCCAAAGCGTACATTTCCTCAGGTATTTCCCTATTTTCTCTCATTATTTTTTATTCCAAGTTTTCGTCTTCTTTTAGAGAATGGTTACTATTAAAGAATGTGATAGTGAGGGTAATATTATAAAACCTAAAAATGTTGTGGAAAGAAAAGAGTTGTGGGATCAATGCATACGGGAGACGAAGGGGGCTTTAGGTCAGGAAGAGTACGATCGAGTCATAAAAGAAGTTTATATATATATATATATATATATATATATATATATATATATATATATATATATATATATATATATATATATATATATATATATATATATATATATATATATATATATATATATATATATATATATATATATATATATATATATATATATATATATATATATATATGCCGTAATCGATAAAAAATAACGAGTTTCCACGACTACTTTTTGTCCTAAAGATGGGTGAATAATGGAATAACCCTAATTGTATAGAGATTCTAAGTCCTTGAGTCACTTTAGACAAAAGGGAGGTGTTAGGCACCCCTCATCTACCTTGTTCTCAAGAAAGTCCTAGGGTTTCGGTTAAGAGAGTTTGATAGAGTTTTAATTTTTTAATTAGGGAAACACGCCTTGGTTTTTAAGTTGCGTGCCTACGTATCCTCTTATGAGGAATCAGAGTTCCAATTCGTAGTTCGAAGTGTTTGGTTGTTTTTTTATGGATTGTGGAAATATTTTGAATTAATCCTTGAATCAAGTTTGGGTTTAAAAATAGAGGATTGATAGACACAGTTCACAGTTAACATAAAAGATTTCCACAATTCTTTTTGAAAATATATTGAATTTTATGTTAGTAAAAAAAGGTTACCATTTGATTGGCTAGGTGTTTTAGAATTTGTTATACAATATGTAAAAAAATAAATTTGAATGAGAAAAAGATTTAATGCAATTAGAAAAATAGGGTTAGTATTTTAAAAATAGTTTGATTAATAAATAACTATTTTATAATTTATTAAAAAATATGTTAAATATTTTTAATAAAAAATTCTAATAATTATTTAATAATTATGTAAAAGATTATTTAATGCAAATGCTAAAGAATATTAAATTATGAATAGAAAATAAACAAATTAAAAGAGTTAAATAATTTAAGAAAACTTAATTAATTAAGTTTTAGGGGGTGTAAAACTAAGATTAGGTGGTGTATGAAATTTATTTAGGTCCAAAAGAAATTCTGAGCTCAAATTGGTTGGGGTGTGTTTTGTAGTTAGATAGTAAAATAAAAGGGTCTGGCAAGTAAGGGCCCAAATTCAGATATTGAACAGGGCTCAAAACGCAGGTGGGGGTGTCGTATTTACTATGGTAGTAAAAAAAGTGTGTTATTAGCAAGGGGTTTGAGGTCCAATTTATTTCTAAATGAATCTAATTAACTTCTATAAGGTAAGCAATTAAATAAATATAATTAAGTTCTATAATAATAATGTTAAAAAAACTGTTAAAATATAGTTTGGTTCTACATCCTTGTAAGAATTTTAATGATAACAAACAGTCAAAGAACAATTATGCTCCCTAAATAAGTATTTTGTTTTGCAGGAAAGTTCTGATGTAAGAACCACAAAAGATAAGATAGATCATTGTTAAAACTCTGTTATGACCATCTTACGTAGAAGCAATTTGTGCGACACGCTTAAATAAAGAAGTTCTGGTGTTACAACTTCTGGGTGCACTAAACGTTGCAAACAAAGAACTCTGTTATTTTGATACCTAAAGTTTTGGAAAGAAGTAAAGGAGTCTCAACAGTAACATTCAACTTCTGATGTGATCTTTAGCAAGCATGTTCTGAAGTGTTACATTTTATTCATGGCTATTTAAAAGTAACGGCTGAAAGAGGGCAAGAATCTCTATATTTAGAAAGTTCATTAACTACTATTTATCAACATTTCAAAAGCACCTCTCATGCATTGGCTATATAAACAAGACATGAAGAAGAAATCATTCACGATTTTTGCTGCACATTGCAAACGAGAAAATATCACCACCTTCAATCCATTGCTTTTAAATTGTGTAATACATCACTTTTGTGATACTGTTTTTTGTTAGAAAACATATTCTGTACACGCTTTCAAATATATTACTGAGTAATACCTTGAGAAAATCGGGTTTTGGTTTAAACTCAAGTAGACTTTAACAGTTGTCATTGTATCTGTGTAATCAAGTTTGATTAGTGGATTAAGACCTCATTTGAGAGAGGTGAAATCACCTTGGCGGGTGGACTGGAATAGTTTGAGTTCAAACGAACAAGAATAACCAACGTGTCTTTTATTTTAAGTTTTAAAAAACCCAATTCAATCCCCCCTTCTTGTGTTTTTTCATTCTTCAATTGGCATCAGAGCGTCTGGTTCTGAGTGCAAACACTTAACTGTGTCAGAAAAAGATCCAAGCAAGAAAAACACTATGGTGGAACCAAGTCAGAACATCAGCAATGATTATCATGATGGGAAAGACAGAATCAGCGGTAAACCTCCAATCTTTGATGGTGAAAACTTTGATTACTGGAAAGACAGAATTGAAAATTTCTTTCTAGCTCATGACGCTAATCTCTGGGATATGGTGACTAATGGGTACATACATCCAGTTGACGAAAGCGATCAGAAGATCGACAAAAAAAGAATGACATATCATCAAAAGAGAGAATTTAGAAATCATCATAAAGCCCGAACAATTTGAAGGGGTAAGAAAACACTTAGAAGGGGGGGGGGGGGGGGGGGGGTTGAATAAGTGACTCTTTTTTGTTTTCAAAACAAAGCTCAAACAATAATGGAATAACACAGTTATTTTTATCATGGTTCATTTGAACTCAAACTACTCCAGTCCACCCGCCAAGGTGATTTTGCCTTTCTCAACAAAGACTTAATCCACTATAATCAACTGATTACAATCACACAACAACTGTTGTGACTAACAATGCACAGGTAAACTTACAAGTGACTAACACCACTAAGACTTAAATATAGTCCTAGTCTGCTTGAGAAATATGACCAAACTTGGTCTCTCAAGGAACAAAATACAGGAGTTTAATCTTTACAGATAATGAATAGAGTTTGCTTCTAATCAAGCTATATCACAACTGTGATTTTTTCACTTAGAATATAATGCACAAATTGTATGAACAATGAGTTTGTGAGCTTTTGGATCTTTCACGTAGTTTCTTGCTTCTCTTGAAAATTTGATTGGTTTTCTTTTTTTTTCACTAAAAAGTTGTTGGGCTTGCAATAAATGTCCTTCTATTTATAGTGGGA